GACTCGACCCATTTCCAGCACTTGTTTTTCCTGTCAAACAACCCGGTTTTAGCGTTTTCCCCGCAGGTCTGACCTATTTCCAATATTTTCCTGCAGAACCACCCTTTTTCAGCATTTTTCCCACATATTGGACCCATTTCCCTGCATTTTCCCCAAGAAACACCCAATTTCCAGCATTTTCCCCCGGAATCAATTCGCATCCAGCTGCTTCACCCCCAGGATTGACAAATTCCCTGAATTTTCCTCTGGAATGATCATTTCCCAGCATTTTTCCTGCAGATCCGACCTACTTCCAGCATTTTCCTCAAGAAACAACCAATTTCCAGCATTTTTCTGTGGAACGACCCGTTTCCGGCGTTCTTCCTGCAGGTTTGACCCATTTCCACCATTTTCTCCAAGGACTGACCAATTTTCACCATTTTCCCCCAAAACATGGCCCATTTCCAGCATTTTTCCAACCAACAACCGATTTCCAGCATTTCTCCAGTGGTTTTGCCCCATTTTTCCAGCATTTTCTCCAAGCAATTACTACTTTCCATCATTTTTCTGTGGAATATCCCTTTTCCAGCATTTTCCTGCGGTTTTGACCTGTTTCCACCTCAGCAGTTTCCACCATTTCTCCCTGGAACGTCCCATTTCCAGCGTTTTTCCTGCGGATTTGACCCATTTCTGCCATTTTCTCCAAGGACTGACTGATTTTCACCATTTTCCCCCAAAAACTCAACCCCTTTCCAGCGTCTCTCCATGGAACAACACATTTCCAGAATTTTTCCAGCCATTTTGCCCCATTTTTCCAGCATTTTCTCCAAGAAACAACTGGTTTCCATCATTTTTCTGTGGAATATCCTGTTTCCACTGTTTTTGCTGCGGTTTTGTCCCTTTTCCACCATTTTTCCTGCAGTTTTGACCCTTTTCCACCACACCAGTTTCCACCATTTTTCCCTGGAACGTCCTGTTTGCCTCGTTTTTCCTGCAGTTTTGACCCATTTCCAGCGTTTCTCCTGCAGATTTCACCCATTTCCACCATTTTCTCCAAGGACCGACTGATTTCCACCATTTTCCCCCCAAAACTCAACCCCTTTCCAGCGTCTCTCCGTGGAACAACCCATTTCCATAATTTTTCTTGCAGATTTGACCCATTTCTGCCATTTTCTCCAAGGACCGACAGACTTCCGCTATTTTCCCCCCAAAATTGGACCCATTTCTACCATTTTCCCCCAAACTTGACCCCTTTCCACCATTTTTCCTGCAGTTTTGCCCCATTTCCGGCGTTTTCCGGCGGACGGACCCGTTTCCGGCGTGTTCTCCCCCAGGATCACTCCATTCCCAGCCTTCTCCCATGGCTCTGGGGGTTTTTTTTGGGTTGAAAAAAGCTGATTAAAGGCATGTGGCTTGGCCCCGAGGGGTGGGGCTGAATGTGGTTGGGGGGGCGGGGCCTGGGTCCAATCCACAGGGGGGCGTGGCCTCCCCACCTACCACAAAGACGCAGAGATGGGAGAGGTTGGGGTCTTGAGCCAGTCAAGCCCCGCCCCCCCCCCGCGGCCAGTTAG